GATCTATTTATACTAAATAAGGTTTTAGTATTTATACTTAGTTTTATTTATAGTTATCTAAGCTATTAGAATCTATATAGATATAATTATCTTTCTTATTTAAGTTATTATCTATAAGCTTAAAATTATTAGAAAGAGTATAAATATTAATAAATAGAGTAGGCTACTTAAGCTTCTATCTTAGGATTTCTATTATATACTTCTAGCTACTAGAGTAATAATCTATATATTACCTAATTAGCATTTTATAAGTATATTTCTATTCTTAGCTATATAATTAAATAATATCTTAGTAGAATAGATAAATAGTATCTTTAGAATAAAGTTAATTAGAACTTTCCCTTAGAAGCTATATATACCTACTAGAAAGTATAATATTTCCTAAGTAGAGCTTTACTTTAGCTATACTAATTATTATAACTTAGTTATTTAAGTAGGAAGTTATATTTATTAATATAGAAGTATAAGTATTTTATACTAATTAATAAGGTCTTTTAAAATTATATTACCTTTAGAATCTATATTAACTAGAGCCTTAAAAGTAAGCCTATTAGGTAAATTAAGCTATACTTAGATTCTTAGAAGTTCTTAGCTTTAATAAATAATCTATTACTAGAGATAAAAGGCTAATAGATTTAAGAGATATTAACTATTAGATTAGATAAAGGCTCTTTTTTAATTAAGAGCTAAGCCTTTTTTACTATTATATACTCTTAAGTTTCTCTTTATAATAAGAAAGTCCCTAAAGCCAGCTAGTAAGGGTTTTTATAGGCTTTTCTTATAGGGATACTACTCTATAATAGTATTCTTATCAATCTTCTTTTCTAGGTTATTAAAATATTTATCTATAAGGTTGGAACCTTAAGGGTAATAATATGATCTTAGGCTTATCTTTCTTTTCTTTTCTTAGAGATACAATAGGTTATTATTTAACATTTTATATACCTTTAGCTAGGTCGTTAAATAACATAGCAACCTGATAAGCTACGAGGGGTTTAGAGTATATAAATCCTTAAGTATACAACTAATCTTTACTTTCTAAATTCCCTTAATAATTTTAGCAATAGTATTATTAGCCTAGTTCTGTATATCTTTTATATAGAAGGTAGAAGGAGATTATTCTTGCGTCTGTATAAGTTATTTCTTGTTAATAGGAGAGGTATAGAAATAGTATTATCTCTTATAGTTATTCCGTATCTTCTATATTAAGGCTGTCTTTAATATACTGCTATTTATATTTATTAATAGCAACTTCCAACTAGTTGGTTACAATCTCTTGATTAAATGGATTGTCAGTTAGGTCTATTTATATAATATTGATAGTAGACTATTCTTATAATATATTATTTTTATATAGTAAGGCCTTTAAGGAGTATTAAAGCTAATTATTAGTAGAAGTTTATATAGGTAATCTGTATTTCTTTTTATAAACTTATTAATTAGGTATTTCTTATTTTCTCTAGCTATAAAGACCTTAGGTATTTAATATTTCTTTATCTTCTTTATATAAGGGTATTCTATTAAGCTTAGGAACCTTTTAACTTAGAAAATAATAAATCTTTAAATATACAATTCTCAGTAGAATTAAATACTAGAATAGAGGGACTAGTTATTTCTTAGTCCTTCTAACCTAGTATAACTGCTATAAGTATTGTAGTTAGCATAGCTATTCTTCTAATTAAACTGGAGATTAAAGTATAACTTTATATTATACCTAATCTTACTGCAATAAAAATAGTTACAGCTACTTATAAAGGTATTTATATAAATATTCTTATTATCTATTAAATAATTAAATGATATTAAATATATATTTAACTCTTATTTTATTAAGGTATCTATATTTCTTATTAAATAGTAGTCAATCTATTTCTACATTTAGATTGCTTGCTTATTGCCCTAGGATATATTAATCTTTAGCTATTTAATTCCTTAGATAAGTTAGTTATTTAATTAATCCTAGCAATCTTATCTTATTCTTTCTTAAGAATTATAGGAGGGGGTATTATTGGAAGAGCTCAGTTATTTAAGTATTCCTCTAAATCTTTATAAGTTTAGGCTTTAGAAGAAGAAATTAGTATAGGATACTTCTAGCTTAAATACTAATATATCTATTTATAAAAGACTTGATCTTTTTATATAAAAAGAGGTATTCTATAGACTTAATAGCCTTAGGTAACTTATCTAGGCTCTTATAAAGGCTTTACTAGATACTAATAGATATAGTATTAAAGATTGCCTTTAATTGGTAACTAACTATTTCTAATAGCCTGGATTAACCTTTTTATAAAAAATATATAATTATTAAGCTAGTTTATAATAATAATATAATCTTTAACTAGCTATTCTATATTTTTTATAAAGAGCTAGTTATTAAATAACTATACTTAGTCCTCGTCCTAGTATTTAAACTTATTTAAAAGATTTACTTAAGCTTATTTTAAAATAGTAACTTTACATACCTTCTAACTTACAAGGCAACAGTCCCCGTTATATAGAAGTTAATATAGTTATTCCAGTTATTATCTTCCATATATTAACTATTTATATAATAGTTATAATACTGTAGGAATCTTATGACATTATAGCTATTAAATTTATTATTAAAAAAAACCCACAAAGCTAAGCCTTTAATATACTCAGCAGCTAGAATTGAAATTACATCCAAGATCTTCTTTATGTTTTCCTTATACTAATTTAATTTAGCTGCAATCTTAGCAGCCCGGCTAAGAGCTGCATTATTTATATTTATCTAATTAAACAATCTAGCAGAGTTGCTAAGTATAGCAACATCTTCTAGTATAATTTAAGGAGATAAAGATAGATTAAATAGAATACTTTTAGGATTCTCTAGTTTAACTAGAGTAAGGTTATTATTATTATAAGTAATATTAAATAGGCTTATACTTAATCCTTCTACTACTAAAATTATAATTATTATAGAATCTCCTAATAGGTAAGCAGGTTTTATAATAGCCTTTTAAGATAATAATATTAAGATTTATAGAAGAACTATTAAAAAGTCTCAAAGATTTATAAAAAGAAGGTATAGAAAAAAAAGATAATAAGTAGTTATTATTATTAGAAAAGTCTTAGTTATTATATATATTATTTCTTAGAATAAAAAGCTATATCTAATATTCTTTATATTCCTACTAATAATATAGTCTAATTACTATAATTATAATTACTTAGTTTTTTATAATAAGCTAAAGCCTAATTATAAGAAAAATTATAACTTACTTATAATTAATATTCTTTTATATCTAGCTAATTATCTCCCCCGCCTAGTTAAATTACTATTAAGAATCTTAATAGCTAATATTAAGCTAGAAGCTACTTAACTTACTAACTAGCTTCTTAAGTTATTTAATTTTAAGTTTAAGATATTATTCAAGGTTAATCTTTCTTTTTCTTATAATATTTTACTGGGATAATATCCTATACTTAAATACTAAAAAAGTATTAGCTTTGCCGCTATAACATTTCATTATTTAAAGTCCCTATCTCCCCCTGCGCGGGAAAGACCTTATCAATTCGGTTTTCATCAGCATCAAGTCATTCTCTATCATCTAATCAAACAGTCTCGCTAGTATAGACTTGGCAGTTGACTGTTATGCGCATGCAGTCAGCGTCGGGGTTCTGGCGATACCCCAACATTAGGGAGTCGAAACTTTCCTTATAATCTCTCGCGTCTCTCCATCACCTCCATAGCTGGTGGTTAATACTACAAATTGAAGGGTTCTTAGGGCAGCTAAAAAGTGCCGCTGCTCCCAGAGATCAGGCGCATCTGTCCCGTCCTTTCGGTCGAGATGCTCCTTATCCCTGGTTGTAGGACTGGCTTCTCTCTGCTAGTTTTCTCACGCCCCACCGTGACCTCCAAAAATTGAGTGAGGGAGTGAGCAGAGGATACTAAGAATATACAACCCACCCAGAGGCAGAGCTGTGATGACCGCGATAGTGTTGTGTCGGGAAGGTTGGATAGGGTTAGGTTTGGGGTCCGGATAAATTGGATAGCCGGGCAAAGTAGATAGCTTTCTCAGCTGATACTGTTTGATTAAATGGACCTTTAATAGGTCCTCAAAGAATAGGTCAAAAGACTGTTAATTGAAAAAGATAAGATGCTAGAAGGATGATGCTTGGTTGTTGTCTGGAAGGTCTTGTCCGAGACCTTCCCAATTTATGGCCCTAGTAGGTCTGGCTACCGGTCCTACCCGATGCAGTATTTCCTATTGAAGGAACCCACCAATTCTAGCCCTAGTGGCTGCAAGTATCTAATTAGATGATCTTTATCCCTAAAGACCGAAAAGCCCCGACTTAGTAGTTCTACTATATAGCTTGCTATATACCAATTTGCAGTATAGCATTATCCTCATCATCTCCTATTTACTTAGTCTCGATGCTAGTAGATATTAGTCGAGCTGCAAGGTTAAGATAGAAGGTATAGTTTATATATTATATTAAGAGAATGCAGCTTAGGTTATTAACTTGGGTGCTATAATCTTTTTCTTTATTAGAATCCATACTGAGGTTAATATAGATATAGAAGTTAATAAGTTTGAATCTTATTATAGTAGGTAGATATTTCTTAATAATAAAGGTAGAGTAGCTAGCGAGGATTAGTATATATAGTAATAGAGTTAAGAGCCGAGTATAACTAATTAGGTGCATACTTACCTTAATAAGAAGTTAACTAAATATAAATAGTTATCAGCCTAAAAGATCTTTTCTAGTAGGTATTAATAAACCTTAAAGTTCCATGCTATTTTAAAATAGCATAGATTGCAGTATTCTTTTATACAATTAAGAATCTCCTCTATATCTTTTAGTAACAGCCTACTACTATAATTATTAGGCTCTGCTAAGAATGAAATATCCTCATAAAACCTATATTGCAATATATCGTTGCTAAGTATATAATATATACTTAAATAAAGAATGCCCTAGTAAGTTGACTATCCATCGACCTTAATAAGCATCGCCTTGAGTAAAGGAGGTTATTAATTGTCGCCGATATTAAGATCCCGAGTAATAAGTCCGTTGTTTTCTAGAGACAATCCATATAATCTCCTGCTAGGAGATAAAAATACTAATACTAAGATATAACTTAGGGACACTTTCTTATACAACCTTGCCGATTGTAAACCCATTTCAACGCCAAACTCTAATACTCGTGGTATATGCCATCCTCCTAGTCTGAACTATTATTATGCAGATCCCGAGTATATTTTGAAGCCGACAGTTAAAGCCATGGGTTACTTGCATCCGTAACGGGTCTGACCTTAGGCTATTTTAATAGTCTAGTATTGTTTATCTAAGAGACGCGAAAAAGTTAACTCTCGTCTTCTAAGGGAGGTAATAGAAGTCTTTATTTTTAATCTTCTTTAATAGCATGCTTAAATAAGGGCTCTAATAATAGCTTAGATTCTAGTTTGCTATCGTTATAGATTCTATTTAGCTAGGCCAAAATCGATAGTGAATGCAATATTCTCTTGGAGGAGAAGATAAGAAGCCGGAAGCAATAACAAGGGCGAACGTACGCCTATATCTCAGGTCTCCCTTTGGTGTTTTCAACAAATCTGATTGCCCAGTCACAATAAGCGTCGCGTCGCTTTGTGATGTCAACCGGACAACAGTGGGGCAGCAGCGAATCCTATAATTGGTTCAAGTCAAGGGGCTGAGTCAGCAGATCAGTTATCGCCAGCCTAGCCAATCAAAAGCTGCGATAAGCCAGTCCCACTAATTTCCGCTTTAAGCAGACGCAGGGCAATGAAACAGGAGAGGAAACCGGTCGCGGTTTGCGCAAAGGAGCCTTGAGGAACGAAGTTGGCTATGGCCAATTTCCCTTTCCTTCATCAACTCTGATCACACCTTCCAGGTTCAAATCTTGCGTGTTGCGAAAGTGTTTGCAGTAGGTCGCATTGTGGTGGGAGGTGCTTGCTTTGTTAATTGGCACATGATGTGGCTCTTTGGAAGATCGTTCACAAAGGGTCATATACAGTGAGATGCCAAAGGTGGTATTCAGCAGTAGCTAGCAGTGCGGTCCCCTATAAATTACAGTGGCCGCGTTCCCGGCTCCGCTGGTCTCCCCCACTTCTAGGTCCGCTCCAGGGGTTGCTACCCTTATGGGTCAGATCTTGGCCCCAAGGTGGGTTCAACATAGACTTACACTTACCCTGTACATTCATGTTGTTGACTTGAATGAAGCATAAAAGGCCCGTTGAAGACAGTAAAATATTTAATTTACTTTTCTTCGAATCAAATAGATTTTTCTCCATCGCTGCATCTACTTTTTATTCGGTGTATCGTTGTGGCTGATTTTTGGTTGATTTCATTGTGTTATTTTATCCTTTCGCGACACACGTCCCAACCCGCAACCCGAAGCCCAACCTTGATAACCTTGATACCTTATATGGCGAGATGAAGATGCTTAACCACCTATACCCATAAAATTTCCTTGAGTCTAATTAGCAACGCCAGTTTGTCATTGTGGATAGGGAGCCGACTGCAATAGCATGAACTATTTACTGTAAAAAAAAGTTCGGCCGGATCCGAGTAGGACTAAATTTTCCAAAGTTGCTGCGGCGGTGGCTGCGTCGGGCACCGTCCATGGCTGCCTGATGCGTGTTCGATTGTCTCTCGCCTCTTCTTCCTACCAAGTCCAAATACGAATAAGCTGAAAATCCTTGCGATAATAGCCATACACCAGACAACTTTCCTTCACTCATTCGGTAACATCTACCCCTACCGACGTTTACATGCCGAGCAAAATCGGGCCTGTTAAATCGTAGCCAGACGGACATCTTGCCGACATGGATGGGAGAAGTTTTTGGCACGAAGACCATGCTGAGACAAACTCGTCTCACCCTCCAAATCGACAAAAGACTTTCCACCATGACCTGGGCAATGTGGCTCATAAGTCGCGAAACGGTTCGACCACCCTACGACACGATCATTACACCATCGCCTGGATCTGCGCGCTGTACATAGAGATGGCAGCAGCTCAAGCCATGCTGGACGAGGTTCACGAAGCCCTGCCTAGACATGCGAACGACAACAACTCGTACACGCTGGGAAGCATTAAGCAACACAACGTCGTCATTGCATGCTTGCCTGATGCCCAGTATGGAACGAATGATGCGGCCAACGTTTTAACCAACCTAACCCGTACATTTCCGTCCATCCGACGGGGGTTGATGGTCGGCATTGGAGGCGGAGCGCCGAGCAAGGCTGATATTCGTTTGGGCGACATCGTCGTTGGAATAAGAGTGATGCAGTATAATCTAGGCAAGGTAGTCGAGGACGGAAAGATCCAGCGAACAGCGACCCCGAAGATCCCCGGGTATTCACTCCGTACAGCCGTAACCAATCTACGATCGCAACATGAGTTCGAGCCAAGCCGAATCCCGTTCATTTTGCGGGAGAAGATGGAAAGACGCGCCGCGTACAGTCGTCCGAGCACACCAGATCGCCTGTTTCAGGCGTCGTATAAGCACGAAGCTGCAACGCCCAGATGCGACCATTGTGACCAGTCGAAGCTAGTATGGCGAAGGGCGCGAGTGTCCGATGACCCGATGATCCATTACGGTGCCATCGCTTCCGGGAACCAGGTGATGAAAGATGCCACCACCCGGGATAATGTCGCCCGCGAATTGGACATTATCTGTTTCGAAATGGAGGCTGCTGGCCTCATGGATGTTCTCCCTTGTCTTCCAATTCGGGGCATCTGCGACTATTCAGACTCTCATAAGGCTAAGGAATGGCAAAGGTATGCCGCAGCAACCGCCGCCGCATATGCAAGAGAGTTCCTGGAGGTGCTCGCCGTGGATGGAGAAGTTGCAGAGGCTGGGTACATGCCCGACCCTGGTAAGTCATCGCTGGGGCTTGGTGGCCATTTGTCAAGACCCAGGCTCACAATCAGTCAGCAGGTCAAGATGCATCACAAGACCGTCGACAGCGGTTGCTGGATTCCCTTACATTCGAGCAAATCGATGCCCGCAAAACTGCCATCAAACCTGCTCACGCCAAAACCTGTCACTGGTTTCTCAAGCACCCAGATTACCAGGCATGGCTTGATCCCCAGAAACTGTCACGGCACCATGGCTTTTTGTGGATTAGGGGCAAACCTGGTGCTGGTAAGTCGACCATTATGAAGTTCATATACATGAAGATGAAAAAGAAAGATATTCGTCAACAGGCCATCACTGCCTCATTCTTCTTCAACGCCAGAGGCGAGTATCTGGAGAAATCGATTTCTGGCATGTACCGATCCTTGCTTTTGCAGCTCCTAGAGGGATTCCCTGACCTCCAAGAAGTCTTCGATGATCCCGACCTGGTTCCTCGAAGCCAAACCAATTGCCCTTCCCTGAACGTTCTCAAAAGCCTTTTCCGCAGCGCAATCTCTGCCCTCGGTGAACGCTCATTTACTTGCTTTGTTGATGCTCTTGATGAGTGTGACGAGCAGCAAGTTATGGACTTGGTTGAGTACTTCGAAGACTTGGCCGAACATTGCACTGAAACAGGCGTGCGGCTCCAGATCTGTTTCTCGAGCCGCCATTACCCGTACGTCGATGTACGACTGGGCATCCGACTCGCACTTGAGGACCAGGACGGCCATGCTGGAGACTTGGATAACTACATCAAAAGCAACCTGCGAATCAAGGATCCTTCACTTGTCGAAGAGCTGCGACCAAAGATGCTTGAGAAAGCTGCCGGGGTTTTCTTGTGGGTCGCCCTAGTTGTCGACATTCTGAACAAGGAAAACCGCCGAGGTCGCCTAGCTCTGAAAAAGAGACTGGCGGAAGCTCCGAGTGGCTTGAGTGAACTTTTCAAGGACCTATTGAGGAGGGACAACGAGAACATGGAGGAGCTACTGCTCTGTATCCTCTGGATCCTCTACGCAAAGCGGCCACTGAGACCAGACGAGTACTATCACGCACTGTGGTCCGGATTGTCCCTGGAGAATCTTGCCGATCCTGAAATCCCGATTGTTACCGTCTCAGACGGCCGTGACTGTACCGCAAGATGTGTCATCAGCTCTTCGAAGGGACTCGCTGAAATCACAAAAGCCAAGCAACCAACTGTGTAATTCATACACGAATCCGTACGAGATTTTCTCGTCAAAGATGGGGGTCTCCATGAATTGTGGCCTGATCTTGGATTTGACTGGGAGAGCCCAAGCCATGAGAGACTCAAACAATGTTGCAACTCATACATGAATCATACCTTGGTGCGTGCGTCTGTCAGCAAGCTGCATTCACAGGCCACGGAAATCTCAAAGGAGTACCCTTTTTTGGAGTATGCTAGTCAGCATGTTTTCTACCATGCCAACGCTGCGGCGGATGCGGTTCCTCAAGACGAGTTTCTATCTTGTTTCTCCGTTCCCAACTGGATCAGCTTCATCAATCTTTTTGAAAAGTTCAAGATTCGTGAATACAGCCCGGATGCAAGTCTCTTCTATCTTCTCGCAGAAAACGGATTCTCGGAGCTCATCCGCACAAGGCTCAAGGAGGATCCGCGTGTTCATGTTTTTGGAGAGATATATGGGTACCCGCTCTTTGCTGCTTTGGCAAACGGTAACAAAGATGCTGTTGCTGCTCTTCTGAACTCGCCTTCGAGCATCTGTAACGGAGTCGACATTACAGAGGGTCTGAACGGCAGGAAAGACTTGAAAGAATACGAAAATCGAACACCGCTATCCTGGGCTGCCCAGAATGGTCGGGTAGGCATTGTCAAGCTGCTTCTCCAAACAGGGACCACAGTCAATGACGTGGATTGGGGGGGCCGAATGTCACTTTCACTGGCCTCAGAGAACGGCCACGAGGCGGTGGCGGGGCTTCTTATCGGCAAAGGAGCACTCTTTCTAGCCTCACGGAACGGCCACGAGGCGGTAGTAAGGCTTCTTATCAACAAGGGAGCAGATATCAACGCCAGCGACAATGATGGATGGACACCACTCTTACAGGCCTTAGCGAAGGGCCATAAGGCGGTGGTAAGGCTTCTTATCGGCAAAGGAGCAGACGTCAACGCCAGTGATAAAGATGGATGGACACCACTCTTACGGGCCTCAGAGAGGGGCCACGAGGCGGTGGCGAGGCTTCTTATCGACAAAGGAGCAGAGGCCAACACCAGCGACAAATATGGATGGACACCACTCTTACGGGTCTTAGCGAAAGGAGCAGACGTCAACGCCAGTGACAAATATGGATGGACACCACGCACAAGGACCTTAAAAAAGGGCCACGAGGCGGTGGTAAGGCTTCTTATCGGCAAAGGAGCAAACGCCAAAACCAGCAACAAATATGGATGGACACTGCTCTTACAGGCCTCAGAGAATGGCTACGAGGCGGTGGTAAGGCTTCTTATCGGCAAGGGAGCAGACGCTAACGCCAGCGATAAAGATGGATGGACACCACTCTTACGGGCCTCAGAGAGGGGCCACGAGGCGGTAGTAAGGCTTCTTATCGACAAGAGAGCAGACGTCAACGCCAGCGACAATGATGGATGGACACCACTCTTACGGGCCTTAGAGAATGGCCACGAGGCGGTGGCGATGCTTCTTATTATCAAGGGAGCAGACGTCCATGCTAGCAATGAGCATGGATGGACACCACTCTTACGGGCTTTACGGAATGGCTACGAGGCGGTGGTGAGAGTTCTTATCGACAAAGGAGCAGACATCAACGCCAGCGACAAATATGGAATATCACCACTCTTTCTAGCCTCACGGAAGGGCCATGAGGCGGTAGTAAGGCTTCTTATCAACAAGAGAGCAGACGTCAACGCCAGCGACAATAATAGATGGACACCACTCTTACGGGCTTCGGAGAATGGCTACGAGGCGGTGGCGATGTTGCTTATCGACGAGGGAGCAGACGTCAATGCCAGCAACGAGTATGGATGGACACCACATTTTCTAGCCTCACGGAACCACCACGAGGCAGTGGCAAAGCTTCTTGTCGAGAAGGGAGTCGAGGTCTCCATCACGCCTTGGGGGCATTGGTGAGTTGCTGGGCGTGATACAGAGCATAGTTCATATGGAGATTTTGGGGTCAGGGATGACGGGCTGTTCAGAGGACGAAATTTTATCAGAACAAAACAAAAATAACACCAGTTATAGAGCGATAGAATCGTAGACGAATGAATCTAGTCCCATATTTTTCACTACCCGATGACACAAGTTATTGGAGTTTGGAATAATTGTTGGATTGAAGCTTGACAAAATGATTGCTGACATAAGAATGTCTTGGCTCAGAAAAAGAGCGCCCCATAGGTTCACGCCTAGGCGCGATTTTACGTAGTTACGCAAAGGCGTGAGTAAACTACTATATCTTAACCGACTCAAACTAGCAGCTGAATGTAGAGTAAAATTACTTGGTATAGACTCTAAGAATATAATAAAGTATTTTGATACATTCTACCAATAGATTAATAGATTTTTATTTATTGTGGCTTCTATATTTATCTTATAAGTTATTAACCTCGTCATTAACTCTATATCTTATAGCCAATTAGAATTTAGCAGATAAAATAGACTATATTTAATTTTTATAAATAAACTAAGCTACTTTAAGAATAATATAAGTATAAAATACTCTAGATCTTTTTTAGAATTTATATTACTTTTAAAGCTTATTAGATATTACTCTATAATAGGATGCTCCTATATATATACAATTAGATTTTGCATCCCTGTTTAAATGTATATTACATAATGGGACTTTTATTAAGAGGTTGCGCTGGGTTTTATATCTAAGAGGGGCGGCGGACCTCAATAACTTTGGTAATCTTGCTGAAGTTTAAGTTAAGGAAATTAAAGAGGTATTTAACTATAGCTTATCTAATTATCTTTCCTAACTATTTTTGTTATATTATGAACAATCCCCAGTCTAGCACTAGCCCAACAAAACCTAAGTATAGCTAACTTTGTATATATTCTATACCTAAGAAAAAGACTAATGCGGATGTAGCGTGGAAATAAGCAAAGCAGCAGGGAGCAGCCTCTATACAATGTGATATAGTACATACTAGCTTCCTTAACCTATTTCTTTTTGCTTTGCCTCTACTTCCTATTTAGCTGAGCAGAGGGAATTACTAAGAGTTAGGGGCAGGTGCTGCGTAGGTGAATATATTAATTGATATTTATTCTCTAGGCAATCCCACTGGTATACTAGGACTTAACTATATAGATATCTTGGAATTCCTTCCTCTAGCTAGTCCTCTACTATTAGAAGAGATAGAAGAGTAAGCTGTATTAGATATTGGTATTACTATAGATATAATGGATTTTATAGATATAGTAAATTTAGTATCTATTTTAAATAATAAGAATCTTAATTTAAATATTCCCTTTAAGAAGATATTAGAAATCTTACTTTAAATATAAAATAATAAGTAAGATTTAGTTAGATGCCTTATATAGAAGTTAATAAAATAACTTATTAAATTTCAAGGATATTATAATAACTACTATTAAGAAGCAGAATATAAATAATTAAAAAACTTAAATAAATATATCAATCTCATAATATATCTAGAATTTATACTTAAGCTAGGTCTTAATATCCTTAGCCCTACAATTATAGCACACTAAAAAGATAACCTAGCTGGAAAGCTTAATACTATAACTTAAAAAGAGATATTCTATAATATTAGCTCTAAAAACAAAATACCTCCTCATCTTTACTTAAGAGAAGATAATAGGGTTATAGATAATGCCGGGGTTTCCTTTAATATAGATAGCATCATAGCCTTCCCAAGTTGCCTTGTAGTTGCCAAGCAGGGTATTCGATGGTCTCCTACCCAGATAACTATATCTAATCTTCAGTCTGATTTTTATCTTAATTTAAGGCCGGTTACTTACTTTAATGTAACTAGAATATAACATAAAATACACCGACCTATCCACTAGATTCCTTACTATACCTTTAGCTATATTATTAGATTGGAGGATATATCTCTATACTTTCTATTTCTCAACCTATATTGAGAGGAGTAGAAGTGCAGCCGGCTCCGAGATGAAGACTTTTAGCTATGGACGGACGGCATTCTCTTCCCGGCAATATACAAATACTACAGTAGCGCCCATATCCAGTATTATCCGTCAAGCTATAACTACAGTCGCTATAACTCTACTGCTCGTAGAGTGGAAACACTTACTTAGCGTATACATCTAGTAGCATGGGAATAACAATTAGTATACTTTCTACTACTAGAGGTACTAGCCGAAGTTTGGGCTAATATCCTCGCTACTATTTAAGAACCAGGATTCTAACAGTTCTAGGATGTAACTATCCTCCTTCAAGTAAAGAACCTTAAGATCCTCATAAAAGACGTCACCTAGGAGAAAATGGTATCACGCTTTAAGGGGTATTGGGTCAAAGCTATTAACAAGAGCCACATTACGCCAGACTTCTATCTTAATATCGGAAAAGAAACTTACCCTCGATAGGCATCGCAAGTTGTACCTTGGAGCCAACTGGCGGCTGAGGCTATGGATGATCTAAGAGACAAACGAGCTGAATTGCTATTATATAAGTAATACTGCTTGGAGTTATATACCTTCCAGGCCCAGCACGGGTCGGCTGATGAAGCGAGCCAGAAACAAGCCTTTTATCCCTTTAGTATGCTTTAAGATACTAGAAGCTTGACTATTGAGACTGGAAAGTGTTTTTTATGCTATCTTGCTAGCCTTCTCTACTCTCAATTCTATCCCAGTGTCAAGGAAGTTTTCGCGGCAGGGAATGTATATCTATTTACAAATATAGCTATTGAGATGCTTGCCCTTAACAAGAAGTTAAGAAAGACATAGGAACTTATTGAAGGTAGTCTTAGCTATTAGCCAGCTGTATTGATCAAGGCATATCTATACACAAAGCTCCGATGCTACTATGCGTTATTGGGATCTATGTAGAAGTCCTTTAATATTAGAGAAGAGCATCATATTTCCAAGGAGCTATTTTGCGCAATTAATAGCCAAATGCGCTCCCGAGAGCTCTATAACATGCGCCTTATTGTACCCACCGACGATAGTTCCCCATATTATAATTTCACAACTGATACTTTGCTTTAATGGCTACAGTGGAATATCAATAAGTTCTATATTGGGTTTGAGATAGTATATAGCTTTTAGGACCTGCATTTTGTAACTTGGGAGTATATAAGAATCATACTTATATTTTTTTGCTATTTCTAATTTTCTTACTTAGGTAGATTGATATAGAAAGTCGGCGGTTACTAGCAAGATATATAATAGCAGCCCGATCCAAGTCAGCTAAATAGACTTTGCCAATATAAAGATCTTGAGTTTAAATGTATAATGGAGGTGTATGGCTATGCTTAGTTTCTTGACAAGATCGACTGGAATATATTTACTTTCCGGCAACCCTATGCAGCCTATATAATATTCAACAACCCATCTATATAGACTGTTTACTACGCTTGGTACTACTAAGTATGAGATATATAGATTGACTTTATTTAAGTAAATAAGGCTTATTAATAGATACTCGAGTTCAGTGCTATACTTATGTGCCTCAACCTCTTAGAGAATTACCTTCAAGAGCTCTGCTTATATGCCTTTTGAAAGGATGTCTTCTTTTACGTTAAGTTAGCTCTAAAGCTAGAGTATATAGAGGCTATATTAGCAGGAGATATTCCCCTCTGCTATGATAGTGTTAATAATGCTATGCTTAAAGATTACCAGCCACTTCAGCTTGCGCAAGAAAACAGGTTGGCAGTAAAGGATATTCACGTATTATTTACTTAGCTTTGGAAATCGAAGGATGACCATTTTGAATAGCAGGGGTGGAATGAGAAGCCATACCATATATTATTCCAGCAGAGCTTCTATGCTATCAGGACTGCACGAGGTAAATCTGGCGCATGGAGGTGGCGGTAAGAGCTGAAAAGGTTATTCCTTGGAAGCCATTGGATTCTCCCATATCTACATAGCCGGGGATTCATGTATAAGAAGAAGGAGGAAATACAGTTTATATAGTGGCCTAGTTTGCATTAAGAACTCATCAGACACTACGCTAAGTCCCAACAGACTGGAATACTTGCCCATCTACTGCTAGCATCCAACATTGAAAATCATCCTATTAATAGCTAGCAACTAGCAGGTTCTCGGTTTTCCAGGAGCTATATGCCCTATATCATACAACCCAAACAGGAATTGATTTAAATGCCTGAAAATGAGCTCTATGCCCAGTTGGTTGCTCTTTGGAAGCAAGTATCAGCTAGGCTGCCTCAAAGCCCTTCTATTATACCTTCACTGGAATTAGATACCTCTCCCGAGAGTCCTTTTTTTCCAAAGAAATAATACCAGATAAGACAAATGGAAGTTGCTAAAACATTCAAGGAATACAATGAGGTTAACAACTGTATCTGGTTTTTAAAAAAGGGGTTAGAGTCATATAAACATCTCTAACATCGTCAGCAAAACCGACGCAAAAGGCATTAGAACCGCACTACAATCCAACCAGACAGCAACTTAAGTTCAATATCAGGAAGTGATGAAGCTGAGGCTACTTCAGATGAGGAGGGCCTTGTTGTTATGCGGAAAAAGCAAGCACAAGTGGTGCGCAATATGGAAACTCGAGTCCATGAGCTCATTAAAGAATTTAAACGAAGATATCCGCAATGGAAGAAGTCTTATAACCCTATCTTGAGGAAGTTGAATTGCCGTCTAGAAAGAGTTGAATAATAGATAAGAAGATAGTAGACCTCGTTGAAAACTCCATATAAATTCAAACCGCGCTATTAATGACTAGAGGGTGAACTTGTAGAAGACCTGAACTTAGAAGACCTAAAGGGGTGAACTTGTAGATATTTCACTATGAAAATCCCATAAAGCTAATTTCACAATTAACAACATACAGAAGAGATTATATACGAATAGAATATAGTATCTATCAGAAAATCATAAATGAACTATCAGAAAATTATAAATAAACTCTTCGAAGAGGATACATATATTCCGCCTATAATCCATAGTTAAAAACAGTAACCCAGCAACCCAGTAAAAGCAATATATCAGACAGTAAAATAGAATAATAATATAATTACAGCCCAGTATTTATTATAATTATTATCACCACGGCCCCAGCAATATAGAGCCGTTTATTTACGTACCCGAGTACCCATTTGTTATATATAAACCATACCAAATAGCCGTCGTATCCAACGAGGTAGTCCGTCATATGAAAGCACAGCATGCAGCAGATAACAAGGCCAAATACATCCACAACATCATCAAGGCCATCCCCGGGATCATCAGTAACCAAGAAGAGTTAAAGCAATGGTCAGTACCGCCCCCAACCACAGCCCCGATACCATGGTTGCCGCCACCCAAGCCGGACGGATTAGGATGTGATGAGTGTCCGTATGTGGCCCGTCAGTTGCGACGCATCAAACAGCATTATCGGGTTCATCATAGATGGATAAACCATCGGACACGCAGTCGGCGCACCAAGGAGTCCGCAGCAGCCGACCCGGCGGTGCCATGGAGAACAGGAGTGCAGTGTCAGCGGTTTTTCCGGAATCGGGTCGCCAGCAGTTGGTTCGAGGTCGGTCGGAGCATCCCATCAAGCAGCAGAGGGGACAGCCAGAACGACGTCAACCGCAAAGCCGAGTTTATTAAGCGCATTCAGCAAGAAGATAAAGAAGCGTTCGAAAGCGAGGCCAATGCCCGGGTCCAAGATATCAGCGACAAGTGGGAGGCGCAGCGATGGTTGAAACGATGCGGATGGCCCCGGCATTTGGCCAATATCGACAAGATGTGGTTGCGGAAGGAAGTGTTGCAGCCGATTGGCGAGAACGAGCCGGTATTGCAGACGATGTGGGAGATTTTCGAATGCGTATTGGACAATGCGTATGTGGCCACCAGCCGTTGCAGTCCCGGCACAGCCGAGTTGTTCGAGATGGAGCGGAAAGAGATTCACATCACGCCCAACAAGCCGTTTGAAGGGATTATGGAGCCAGACGCATGGATCCGGTACAAGGGGCATTGACGTACGATGATGTGTATTTGGGAGCGATTGCAGATATTGGATGGAACGCATGGGGACAGCGACAGCGACAACAGCACAGAGTACAGTACGGACGAAAGTGACGACGAAGATGCCCGTGGCAGCACAAGCGAAGAGAGCCGCAAGCCCGGAAGCCGGCGCGGGAGGAAACGGCCGCCGTACCGCACGACAATACAACAAGACAGGTCGTGGGCCCAGTTTTGCCAAGGAGTTGAGCAGGTTGTGGCCGGGACCGACACCATTGGCCGATATACAGAGTGTCGGTTGGAACGGAGTTGTTTAGACGCCGTCATCCAATTATTCGACCATCCATTGAAGAGCGGGCAGCATTACGAGAGTATCGTCATTAGTGCGTTGGCCGTCATGGGGGTTGAACCCGGACGGCGGATGGATACCGGTTGTGAATTACACCCAAGTATATTCAGCCGTCATCAAGGTGGCCCGGTATTTAGTGTTATACCAGTCCACATTGGAGCGGCAGGATCAGATCGCCCAGTTGCAGCAGGTTGTAGGTAAACGGAGGGCAAAGGAGAAGGCCGACGGGTTGTTCCGCATTATCCGAGGCAAGATGCGGCGGTTCATGACGCGGATATCCGATGACAAGGAAGCAGAGCCGACGCCGATGAATTGTATCATCGATACACGTTCGTACGGGTTGAAGATCCGATTTACGACCCCGGGCGAGGAGACGATCGATTGGCGAGGCGACCAGATTATTCACAAACGCGTGCGATTGGGGATGGGCACGTTATCCGATATGTTGCATAACGTATTGCAGGAGGCGCGGCGTATGTTGGCCGTGTTGACCATGACAGACACCGCCGCGCCGGGGACGGAGAGGCAGAGCCGGGGCAGAGCGTTTGCGCAGGTACGGCCGAGCCGTCGAGCAGTTCCGGGAGCAGATATGGATGATGATGCATATGTTGGGCGGGCAGCCGGCACGAGCCCCTAACCACTATTCCGCGGTCATCCAGTGCCATTCGGCGGCACTCGATGACCGCTCTGCGCACGGCCATTGGCCCGCGCCCCCCGGCCGCGGCCCCACCGGACCTCAGGGGCGGCACTTGATGACCGTTGGCACTTGATGACCGGTCTGCAGCCAATCAGAAGCCGGCTAGGGTTAAGGGTAAAAGGGGGAAAGAGGGAAAAGAAGGGCTAAGACAAAAGAGAGAGAGAGAAGAGAAAGAAGAGAGAGAGAGAGAAGAGAGAGAAAGAAGAGAGAGAGAAGAGAGAGGAGAGAGAGAGAGAGAGAGAGAGAGAAGAGAAGGAAGAGAAAAAGAAAGAGAGAAAGAGAGAGCAAGAAAAAGAGCCTTTCCTTCCTTCCTTCCTTCCTTCCTTCCTCCCTTAACTTCCCCTCCCCCCTCTCTCCCTCCCTCCCTCCCTCCTCCTCCCTCTCTCTCTCTCTCTCTCTCTCTCTTACTATGGATCAGCAGCAGCAGCAAGCAGCTATTACAGCAAGCCAGAGCTGGCTCTGCCACTATCCCCACCTTCAGATCCTCATCTGCACCTCTCACGGCTATGCTATTACCGACCTGCCAAGCCACCTCCGCAAGCAGCATCCCGACCTCAGCCAGCCCACTCGCCGGGCCCTTGCTGAATACTACAGCCAATAGAACCTCGAAGGACCTAGCTGCCGCCTGCAGCTGCAGCAGCTAGAGCCAGAAGGCCAGAGGGAGGGCGAGAAGAAGCAGGACCTTAGCAGTGCCGGCAGCAGAGGCACGGCAGCAGTAGCCCCCTTTGCTGGGCTTCCTGCCCACCCAGTATTCCGGTGCCGGAAATGCTCCAGCTTTATAACAGTTAACTGGAAGCTCTGCAAAACACACTGCAGCCAGCTCCATGCGTGCAGCAGCAAGCAGGCTCGAGCCGGCCTCTGGTATCGGGCTCTAGCTCAGACCTTCTTCACGCAGCCGGCAAGACGGGCCTACTTTGCAGTCGACCCAACTGCAGCTGCTGCAACAGCCGCCTCCTTCCTAAGCCTAGGCTGCTCGTTACACTCACACTCTGGCTCTTCTTCTTGCCCCTTAAGCTCAAGCTCAAGCTCAAGCCTCAGTATAGAGTCTAGAGCAGAAGTACAGAGGCAGGGGCAGAGGCAGCAGCAGCAGCAGCAGGCTCAGCTTGCAGCTACTATCCAGCAGCGATGGAGCACGAGCAGGACGACCAGCTAGCAAGGCTGCTTCAGATAGCTAAAGATAGCATCCCCAAGCACGAGATTACCAACTTTGGCTGCGGCACCGGCTGGCTCGATCACTTTGGCTGCCGAGACCTAGCCGAATCCACGCCGCCAGCCGGATGCCGCAGCAAGCAGACGAGCCGGACCTACAGATGCTTGTTGAAGCCCTAGACCGGGTCTTCTTCCGCCGCTGCATCGCCGGCCTCGGGGCGCTGCCGCACATCGGCCGGCTCTACCTGGCCAGCCCCCACCTGCAGGAGACTCACAGCCGGCCCTTTGGGCCCCTGCAGGAAAAGGACAGCATGGATCGATATCTGCGCTATAGCAAGCGCTTTCTCTGCTACTGCCTACGGGTTCGGACGCTTGAGCCGGCCGAGCTAGCCACACAGCACGCTCTTATTCTTACCCCAATGCAGCGAGGCCAGCTTGCAAGGCTTGCCCGTCGGCTCGAGCAGGCCGTGGCGGCAGGCTGCAGCTATAGTAGCGGCAACAACAGCGATGAGGACGAGGACGATGAGGGCGGCTGTAGTAACAGTCATGACAATAGCAAGATAAGAGCCCAGGTTGAAGAAGAGGTCCTACAGGCTTTAGCCAGCTTTTGGATGCAGCGCCTTCCTGCCGACCCCTTTGCGAGCCCGCTGTGGCACTTTGTCGCCGTCCTGGGGATCAACAAGCAAACCGGGCAGCTGCAGCCGGCCCATCTATTTACAGGCACTCTAGCCGGCCTCGTATATACAGGCCGAGCTGTTGTAGCCGAGGCGGCGATCCCCAGCAGCCAGCGGGCGGCACTGACAGATCTGCCCGAGCAACTGCATGCAGCAAGAGAGAGCTGGCTATGTAAGACCAGCTTTGCACCAATGGGCTATATCTTGAGCCTGCTGCTCTACGGTCGGAAGATTGCAATGGAGACCGGCAGCCGGCTTGCAGTCTTGTGGAATGCTGAAGGAACCCTGCTTTACTACCACGGTCAGCCTCTTGCAATAGATAGCATCCGGCAGCTAGTGGCCAGAATGACGGCAGATGCTGAAGATCTTCTATGGGAAAGACTGCTATTCCGGCCCTCCAGCAGCAGCAGCAGCAGCAGGGCCAGCCGGGCCCTATATACAGCAGACAGCCGGGCTTGAAGCTCGAGGCCGCTTTCTCATCCCTCTAGCAGCTATTCGCGACGATCTGACCCAGACCCAGCGCGGCCAATCCTTTATGCATACCAACGGCCTGCTGGGGCGGGAAAAGGAAATACTCCAGAGCCTTGTGGCAGGCCCGCTGCAGAAGGAGTTCCTCGACAGCAAGGGCGAGTGGAAATGGCCCCGGGTCCAGCGGTATTTACAGCAGGTCAAGCACTTCCAAGAGCTGCTATTAGTCCTCATCCATCTAACCAACCAGCCTCTTCGAGGGCCGGAAATCACCGGGCTGCGGCTCGTCAACGGCATCAATCGGAACTGCAGCGTATTTATCATCGACGGCAAGGTCGTCTTAGTCAGCCAGTATCACAAATCCCTTGCCCACTTCACAGCCCTAAGGTTATCCCTCGGATGCTGCCGGGCCGGGTTGGGCAGCTTCTGTATGTATATACTTTACATCCAGCCCTTTACAAACCGGCTCGAGAGCAGCCGGCTAGCCCTCCGCGATAAGGTCTATCTGCCGAGCAACTTTATCTGGCATCAGCACGAAAAGCCCGGTACGCCCTGGAATAGCAACTAGCTATCTCGAGCCCTTGCCAAATAGACCCAGCACTATATCGGCCAAAGGATTACGCTGCAGCAGTGGCGGCATATCGCTATTGCCGTCAGCCAGCGGCATACTCGCGCCCGAGGGCCCCAGAGGGGGTATTTTAGCACAGCCACCAGGCAGAGGATAGGAGGAAGAAAGGGCGAGAGCTATAGAATGTTGAGGATCTAGCTGCTACACACAAGCCGTACAGCTGCCGGCTATGAGTGACTATTGAGATCCTCAAGCGGCTGACCTCTGAAGTCTTAGAGGTCTTTGGCCAGGCTAGTCACGCTGGCACTTTCTTGGCTGTATAGCGGAAGAAGCTGCTGAGAAGACTCAAGATATAGAAGTACAGAAAGATAAAGAAGAAGAAGAAGGAGAAGAAGAAGAAAGAAAAAAAAGAGCAGCAGCAGCAACAGCTAGCATTAAGACAAAAGCAGCTAGGGCTCACCCAGCACAAAAGAAAACAGTTCGAGGGAAGAAAAGGAGTAGAGCCAGCTTGGAACTAAAGGCGAGCTGAAGGGCAGAAAGCCGCCAAAGGATCCGGCCTCTAGGGCTGCTACAGACAGCCGGCTCGGCCGCAGTTGGAGCCTTAGACGACCGGCTCCTCCTGCAGACTCTACGGCAGGCCCTGCAGAATCCGGCAGCCGAGTTCCGCTCAGCAGCACAGAAGGAGGTGTGAACGGCTCTAGTAGCTGGATTCCAGCTATCTAGTCCAGGATGCTATTTACATCAAAGATGAAGAAGAAAGAAAGAAGTTTCCCAAATGCCCCTGAGCTGTGGAATTTTCCCGTCCCTGGCGCGCACGAGCCTCGTACGTCTTGCGGCACAGCCGCAAGGATATGGGCCCTGGCCGTGACAGGAGGCTATCCAGCTAGCCGCAGCCAAGCAGACTCCTCTTGTGGCCGTCCTGCCTACCGGTGCCGGCAAGAGCCTGATCTTTATGGTGCCGGCCCTTCTGACTGGAGCCGGCATGACAATTGTAGTTGCGCCCATATCGGGCGCTCAAGGACCAGCTTGTCAGCCGCTGTCAGGATGCCGGCTGGACTGCCGGACCTGGCCAGAGGCTCAGGATTCCTGGCCTACAGTCCACTATAGTATCAGCCGAGGCTGCTATCACTGATAGCTTCCTGCAGTGGGCAGCCGGCCTCAGCGTCGGCAACCGGCTTGACCGAGTGGTTATCGACGAATGCCACCTCACCTTTACGGCAGCCTTGAGCTATCGGACAAGCTGAAGGGGCTGATCCGGCTGCGGGCCTCTGCTGCCCGCTTGTCTTCCTTACCGGCACTTGCCGCCGCACAAGCAGGCTGCTCTTGAGGCTGCTATGCTGCTGCAGAACCCTATCTACAT